GTTGCTGTTTTCTACCACACACAACACCCCCCCCAACTTTCCTCTCCCCCCCCCCCCCCCGAGATGCTCCGACAACCTTAGTGTTGTTAATGTTACACTAACTCCTACTTTTTTTTTCTGGCGTCACGCATGGGTGATTTATTTCACTATTAATTTTGGGGATACATTTGTCGAAAAAATAAAGTTAATGTTTCCTCGGAACTTATTTTTGTTCATAAACTGTCGGATCAAATTTCAACGAAATGATCCCCGGGGCCCGTCGTAATGACCGCAGAGACCGACTCACCAGCCAGCTCGCACCGGAGAGTGTTCCGTGAACCCGTCGCATGCGGCCCGCGTCCTGGCGTCATGGCGTGACTCCGTTGAGTCACCTGGCGTGCACCCGAAGGTGGCTCACCCGAAGCCGGCGGGATAAGCCGCTCCTGATTTACCAGGTGAATAAATGATGAGGTATCTCACCAGGTCCGAGGAGATTAATCAGTTTCTGAGACAAGTCTGGCTCAATCAGGACCCTGAGGTCAGGGACTCTTAAATAATTCAACGCCGATCCCATCTCAATATAAGCCCCCCCCCCCCTTTCTCTGTCCCCTAATTATTTGACCTCTAGCCATAGACTTGTTCAGGAAGACTGTTTCCGTTTACCAGGTGAATAAATGATGAGGTCTCTCACCAGGTCCGAGGAGATTAATCAGTTTCTTAAACAAGTCTGGCTCAATCAGGACCCTGAGGTCAGGGACTCTTAAATAATTCAACGCCCATCCCATCTCAATATAAGCCCCCCCCCCCCTTTCTCTGTCCCCTAATTATTTGACCTCTAGCCATAGACTTGTTCAGGAAGACTGTTTCCGATTCAGCTCAATGTCTGTAGATACAAATTCCCAAATTATCAGACGATCCCGTACGGACGTTGGAGTTCTTAACCAGCAGTTTGGGAATCCCTGGATTGGATTGCGCGTCGTGTCAGACAATGCTGTCCTTGTGTCGGTTATCTGTGATATCATCGTTCCTTAGAAAGGAGTTAGCCCTCTGTCTCGAAACATTCAGTAGTCTTTGAGGAAGTCGAGGCGAACCTTCAAACAGGGTATCTCATAGAAATCTGAGAATCATGCACTCTTTACATCTTTACGCACATTACTTCCAATCTCTCTCAATCTCTTCTCCATCTTCTCCCTCTCCCCCCTCATTTTCTCCCCCCCCTTCACTCTCCCCCTCTCTCTCTGTTCCCTCTCTCTTTGTTCCCTCTCTCCCTCTCCCAATCTCTTCTCCATCTTCTCCCTCCCTCCTCACTTTCTTCCCCCTTTCACTCTCTTCACTCTCCCTCTCTGTCTCACCCCTCTCTCTCTCTCTCTCTCTCCTTGTTCCCTCTCTCCCTCTCCCAATCTCTTCTCCATCCCCTCTCCATCTCCCCTCCCTCCCCTCACTCTCTTCACCCTTCTACACTCTGCCCTCTCCTCCTCTCTCTTCCCTCCCTCACCCTCTCTCTCTCTCACACACACACATACTATAAATATACATCATTGCGTCGCTGTTTTTTTCACTTACTCCCATTTAAATATTCGAACTGGCTTGCGCTAAACAATCATTCCAAGTTAAAGCAGTGCTTACAAGACACAGGTAAAAGTTGACGGGTATTTTAAAATACGTACAAGGACCAGCACTGGATTAACGAACTTAAACGAATACACAAGGTTGGGAACACATCAATTTTTTCTCGCCCCTGAATTGGCTAATTAGCATAAAGTTTACAGTAAAGTTTAAAAAAAAAAAAAAGATAATTAAAAAAAAAAAAAAAAACAAAAACTAAGGTTGGGAAAACATCAATTTTTTCTCGCCCCTGAATTGGCTAATTAACATAAAGTTTACAGTAAAGTTTAAAAAAAAAAAAAAAGATAATTAAAAAAAAAAAAAAGAAACAAAAACCATGGAATTATTGTTGTTACGTTTGGTACAGATACAGACAACATAAAGAAATAGCAACACACACAATTATAGAAATATATATATATATAATCACTGCATACTTTCAAATAAAAACAAGCGCCTCTTTCATTTCCTCATGCAGGCGAGAAGCCCCACAAGTGCACCATCTGCGGCAAGGCCTTCAGCCAGTCGTCCAACCTCATCACCCACAGCAGGAAGCACACGGGCTACAAGCCGTTCTCCTGCATCAAGTGCGGCAAGTCTTTCCAGAGGAAGGTCGACATGCGACGCCACGTGGAGCTGGCCAATCATTATTGAACACGTGTGTCACGTGATTGTTTTTGTTTGGTTTAAAAAAAAAAATAAAATAGACGGAACATGTATTCTATACCGGTAACATTGATTTATGGATTCAGACGATTCACCCATTCGGCTTGTTTTATCTTTGGCCTCTGAGTGAACGTGTCATAAAATGCTCTCTCGAGTGTGACGGCAAGAATGCTGTAGCAAATTTCATTAAGAAAAGCGCAGTTGTCTCAGTCAACTTTAATGCTGTTAAGTCAGCCGTGGAGGCGTTCACGCATGGGTGAGTTTAGCGGTCGCCTGTATGAGAGCTAGACAGGGATTATCAGGGGGAAACGATACAAGTCATTTAAGAAACAACAAAAGAGGCCTATAAATTTCAACAGCTTGACAGTATGTTTGATTGACACCTAGAGCAGCAGAGCGTGACAGTATCTTTGATTGACGCATAGAGCAGCAGAGTGTGCCACGAACCAGCCATACTAGTTTTGCTTCTAGTGCCGACAGTTCAAATGATACTCCGACTGCACCCCACCCCTCCATAGACACGCCCATGAGAAGAAACTCTATTTTCTATTGTCCATTTTTTTTTTTAAATTGAAAGAAAAATAAGTGCAATATCTTGTCTATGATTAATTTATTGATCTTCTGTTGACTCTCATCAT